GCTCGTGATCAGCTGCTGTGGAGCTAATTGGATGGCAAGTTTACTACTGTGGTGTGAAAGAAGAAGAGAAACAAGGTCTCTGGCTCCCTCTCATTGCTGCTTCTTTAAGCTCAAAAGTCAAGCCAATGACAGGGACAGTGGAAATTTGTAGCAGGCCTTGACCCCATTGGGACAAGGCAGACTGGGACGAGGCAACGGCACGCTGACGTCATCTACTTCTTCCAAATTTCAGAAGCCATTTGGGACATTAAGGAGTTGCAGCGCATGTGGTTAGGTGTTAGTAGTTAGAAATGGCCATAGTTGCACTTCTCTTGCCGCCTCTGGTGTGGCACTGGCAGGCATGCATGCATGCTCATAATGATCTCCATGGAAAGCTAGGCCTTGGCATCACAGAAAGCAGGGCACTTTTCTTAGGACATTTAAAAATGAACCTGTAAAATAATTCTGTTTCATCCACCCAACTCAAAAAATGTAATTAATTTCCACCCGCTCTGAAACTATCACGAAAAGTCAATTCAACTCCCTCATTTCAGGGAGCAGAAGTGGAAACTGTTTTCCTGTCATTGCACCTGACTGGAAGTCTTCCTCCTAAGCACTGCCGGCCAGCAGAGTCTCAGAGGCTGTCTTTTTGTTTTTAAAGGATTCTCAAGCTTTCTTAATTCACTACAGAGCTCCTCAGTCATCTCGTCCTTCCATACACGCCACTACAGTTGCGTTCTTTACTTGTGCCAAGTGTGACACAGCAACTGCATTCCCCAGTGCCCTGAAGATACTGTGTCTCCTTCATGTGGGTTGATAGCCATATATTACCTTAAGGTCCTTTTGAGGTATGCTCATAGATAAAGCAAAATTAACTAAATGTGCATGATTAACACTCTCTTGTGATGTGACAGTGCTTTGGAATGGAATATGTCATACACAGGTCAGTATTTCAGACCCATGCCTGATTACCATGTCAGTATTTGTACATAACTTATTGGAAATGCCATTTTATCTGTTCTTTGTAGCTCCAACCATGTTAAGTAGTCAGTCAGAAATGTAGAGCAGAAACAGTTCCAAGTGGCAATGTGCCCACCTCTTCTTGTATTATTCATGACAACATGCTTTTTTCCTCTCTTGCAGGGAGGTTCTAGGATAGCAGAAGCAGCTGGCAAGAGAAGAGAGTATCTACCCAGAAGCAATCCAAAATTCTCAAGTTAAATATTTTTCCTTCAACAGTAATGCTTTACTACTGCCTACGTGTAGTGCACCAATATAAATAGCTCAATCCATACTGCTGTCAGCTACTCTGGGATGAATATTTGTACTTGGTATCAAAGAAGAGAGGTGCAACACAGCATTGCCATTGAGGAGGCAGCTTTTTGGAAAACACTGGTCACTCAGTGAAAGAGCACCCTGCCCAGTTACGAAACTGGGACTTATTCCTTAAAGAAAAGGGTGGATCTCACCAAGGGAAGAGGGTGGATCTCACCTAGTTTTTAAACACTGCCTTGAATTCACTTTCATGATGGTCATAAGGTAAGGCAGTCATCGGAAGTGGATGGAACAGGGTCAGCTTGAAGAGTTGTTGGACATCACTGATTTAGATTTTGGGCAAAACTAAAATTGAAATTCCGATTGTAAAATGCAACTCTAGTGCTTGATAATAGTGGGGGGGAAAAAACACCAAACAACAAAGGAGGATATCGTACTGCATACAAAGCAATGTATCTCAAAGTTTTTTTCCTTTACAGTTGACTTTCAGAGTAGATTAAGTTTTTTCAAATTTTACATGCATTTATTCTTTCTCTTTTCATCATTCTAATGACAATTCGATCATTAAAATTAGCATTATTCATTACCTCCATTGACAGAAAGAACTGAAAAATAATGGAAGCCTAATCTTTCCAATTTAGAAAAATAAAATTTCTCTAGGATTTATACTGTCTCAAGTTTGACAGTGACTCTGACTCAGTTTAACTCAGAAAATACTTAAAGATACACTTAATTTTAATCAAGCAGGTAATCTTACTAATTCAGCAGAACAAATAGATACACTTCAAACTAATGTGCTTATGTGTTTTAATAGATGAGGCCCAAGCACCTGGCAGAAATAAATTTAAAAAAAAAAAAAAAATCAATAATGACGTACAGTAAAGCTAGCTTCTCTGCAGAGATGGAACTACTAAATTAAAATACAACTTGCACAAAAATGTCATTTTTCCAATGCAAAATTTCTCCCTTTTTTTCAAATCTGTTGTGACATTTATTTTTCTGAATGTTTCAACAGCTGGAAACAAACATTTTGGCTTTCATTTCAAGGAAAGAAGAACCATTCTAGCCCCTCAAGTTGTTGAGAAAACATGAAAAAGTGAATTCAAGGCTCTAGAACCAGAAGACAAATAGAAGAATGAGTTATTTATTTATTGTTTAAATCTCATGACTACTTAATGCATGGGGTTGGAGATAATTGTGTTTTCTCTAGAAGAAATATATTCTTCTTCCCTTGTTTGTGGTATGGATAAAAATTACAGTCCAGGTGTAAGTACTGTAGCTCACACAAGTTATTAATTATTTACAATAGAGATTAATATGCGGGCATCCTTTATATTTATGAGAATACAGTGATGAACTGAAAGTATGAGCCTGAACTGAATAAAAATAACTTGAGTTCAGGGAATATATAACAAAGAAGCAGATCTATTATGAACACATCCACCAAAATAATTAATTTACAAAATCTCAGCCATATAAATAATACAAATCTTTGAAAGATATGCTAAGAATGTTAAAATATGAAAGCCATGTTTAATTCTTTTATGCAATCTCAGACATCCTCTAAGAACAGAGTCTAAGGGAAAATGGCTCTGTTTTGCTGAGGGTTAATTAATGTGTATTTAAACTATTTACATTGTCTTGGGGGGGAAGTATTTTTAAAAAAAAAAAAAAAAAAAAAAAAAGGAATTTTCCCTCATAATAGCATATGCTGTTCCAGTCTCCTTAAATCTCCCTAACTAACAAAAAGAACTCAAGTAAGAGCAAAGAAAGACTATTTTCCTGTCTGGGCAAGATGATACTCATCATCCTCGCTTACATGCACAACCAAGCAGTCACACAGAAGCACACTGTACTTAGGAAAATTCTTTCAAGTGAGTTTCAAAATACGCAATGCATCTGAAAAATATTACTTCACAGTTTTGCACTCCTCGCCCCCGCCCCCCCAATAACATGTGGCAAGGACACTTAGGGCTTGTATTTGTTTTTGCTGATTTGTAGGGTTTAGGATTGAATACCAACCAAAAGTTTCTGACTACTTACCCACTCTTCCTCATCATACTCAGAATGATGGGGTATAGAGTCCTGTCTTTTTATCTGAGAAGGATGATCCTGATGCTGTAAATCACCCCCCTCTTCTGCACTGTTTCTAGGCACAGCTGGTTTCTTGAGGACACAGCCAGGCCGGGCTGTGTATAGTGCTAAAAGGGCGCTTCTGACCAGCTGATCCTTAAATGCATGCACAAATAACTCTGTCTAGAAAAGAAAATAATTGAACGAACAGGTTAGACCAAAGAATGCAATACTGCAACATAGCTATTATAACACTGAATTACCCTTAGGCAGAGTGGATATTTGTTTCAGGCCAGCCTAAGAGGCAGAAAACAAAACAGACCAACAATGAGAAAAAATTCAAGTTTTTGGGACATCATCACATTCTACAATCCCATTGTTCTAAAGATTAACACAGAAGTACAGTATCTGCCACAGAGAACATCATCTTTTCACACAATCCTATTTTATTTGAGTTCCAAATTTTGCCTGCAGAGACAAGCCTCTACAAGAACCAGTTCCAAGAGTAATCAACCACAGCTCAGTAATTTCCAAATAAGTGTCAGATAAAACATGATTAACAAATTTAAGAATAATCTTAAATAAAAACACACCACACTACGCTGCTGAGATTGCAGTATCTGCAAAAGCAGTGTTTCAGAGATAAATTTTGCTACGTGTAGCTATCAACCCAGATATCAGGGCAGATGATGACACCTGATTTCTAGCTTTATTTTATTTATTTTTAAAGAAAAGAAACCTTGAAGTAGTTTGTCCAGGCTCTCTGAAGATGTTATTCAATCACCGCATCATTTTTCTAAATCCTTCTTGTTGACTGTGACAGCTGGAAGTTTACCATATTTTTAGAACTCTCCAACCTCCCCGCATTATTTACCTCCCTTCCACCCCAACAAGAAAAGGAAAACGCTTTCTGCATATGGTCTTTAGCATCTCTAGACTCTGTCTCCATCCAACAGCACTTGCTGATGCCACCAGTCTGCCACACATGCCCACCTCCTGCAGTCACACACAACACGTGGCCCTACCTCCGCTACTCCTCTTATTTCGGAGGCTGGCCTATTCGCTCCGTCAGCTGACGCCACTGACTGAACAGGAGAGGGTGAGGTGCCAGGACACATTCCCTTTCACTACAGGGTGGTAACCACTAGCAAAGCCGCAGTGACAGACAGCTGGGGAGAGTCACAATTTGGGTTACTACAACAACATTCGACAGGGTTCATCTGTCAGAGTGGGGAGAGCACGCACCCCGTCGCTATACCACATCCCATCCCGGCTGCTATAGCTCCCCTCCCCAGCCAGAAGCCCTGGTTCACAGGTGATGATGAAACACTGCTTGGCATTTCCTTCACAGCACAATTACCTGAACTTATTTATCCCGGGTCAGTGGGATTTAGCCGCCTTCCTACTTACCCAGAACATAGTGGATTGTCACGTGCAGATTTAGACGCTGAACTGCCTTTGTGCACACAATCTTAATTAAACAGGCATGTGGAAAAGTATGTAGATAAAAGTCAGAGCAACCAGCCTGAACAAGCAGTCACACAAAGCTAGGAATTGCTAGAAATAAAGGTTGCCCGGCCAAGCTTCATTCAGCCCTTTCATGCTTCTTATGCAAAACCTGGAGGAGAAGTAGCAAAAAACCCCAAGGCAAACAAGTTTCAAGTGTCAGCATCTATCTTCCTGGAAATCTTTCTCCCAGTTTCTGCACTTCTTACTTCTAAGTCTTATCCCATCCCTTTTTGCTAGTACTTGCTCCCCCTTTTGTATACCTCTACTCCTACTCAATGGATTTTTCTTGCTTTTCTGCCTCAATACCCCCTCAAAAGATCACTGACATTTAGACCATAATGCTCTAAATAATGAATGGTTTTCTTAAAGCTCCAGCTGCTGGGTTAGGTACCTGCTTGAGAAGTTTCTGCTTTTTACCACTTTCACTATGTTTTAGGAAAAAGGTATTTTTGATCCTTAATGGTTGCACATAGAAAATTTGCTGCAAGTAAAACTCAGAAGTCTTAAAAATAAGAACCTTAGGGATAGCTAAGCTAACTTATGATTTTTTAAACCAACATCAGGACTTCTTTCAGACGTGATTTGGGATTCTTTAGTGCTTAGGCTTGGCAACACTATTCATCTCCCCGGCAATTTTACCAGACCCATTCTGTCTCCTCCTTACTGACTTGGTGCCTGAGGGAATGGGTGCTTAAACAGAGACAGTTTTCTTATATGTACCCTCAGGACTGCCTCATGGTAGTCCTGAACTGCACTGTAGGACAATTTCAGCTTTCTACATTTCCAACCTCCACGTGGTGCATGCTCAGAGAATACGTCGTCTTTGGGGAATATTGTTAGTAAACCCTACCATTCTTCTATAAAGAGGCAAAGCAAGACTTGCGGAGTTGTCTTTTCTTGCATGGTAAGAGCAGAGCTCCTCTTCAAGACTCTTCTACAGTTCCACATCAAGAGAGTCCAAACTACTTTACTTGTCTGTCCTTAGAAATGACAACATCATGGTTTTGCTGAGGTTTTGTACCTCCCCCCAAAGTCTGCTTGAGATCATTTCAGGTCTCTGCATCAGGCATGGTAGACTCAAAAAAGCTTTAGGTTTCAGAAAATTTTAAGTAAGGAAGGAATGCCCACTATGATTGAAATGTATGTTAGGTAACTATCTGAAAAGTTTAAGTAATTTAATTTAATACAAATATTTTACAGGGAAAATTCATTTTAAAAAGCAAACTGGCATGGGAACAAACCTCCATTTTTTCATATAGAGACTAAAATGCTTCTGTAATTAAATTCCATTCAAGGATTCAATTGGTTTAACAACAATCTACATTTTAACTACATTTTCTTACAGCTCAGTACAGCTAAATTTGCAGAACATCACGATTTATAAAATTGTATTGAAATCACAAAACAAGTCTATACAAAGAAATGAAAACTTTGCAAATTCTTTTAGACACTTGACTAAAGAATATTTCTGCAAATAAAGATAGGCATAGCTAGAAAATGAATTTATCAAGCCTTCTGCAAGCTGCAAATACTGATACACTTGTCGACAGCTAAAGGCTTCCTTAATCAATTAACTGGAAGTGTTGATAAAAGGTTAGTCTCAGGAAAATACTACAGTAAATTGCAAATCATATATGGAGAAGTAAAACCATGCTTAATATGCTCAATATTAAGCTCAATTTATGAAACAGCAGTGGAATTTTTTGATTTAATTTTCCACTTTCAATGCAGGCAGCCGGTCCTTCCATTTCTAACACAAATACTTAACTGTAATTCACATTACTGATAGCTCAGATATACTGACTGCTACCTAATGTTTTTAGAAAGAATTAGTCTATATATCAAGCTTAACATTATCTTAAAATAAAAAGTGATATGCTTTTTAACAAACTTGAGGAATTTAATCACCAGGCAAATCATTTTTATGATTTCTTCAAACAGCTGCTTAATTTCTAAATTTCTATCAAGTTAGAATGTAAGAGAATATTTCTTTTATACATACAAAAATTATTCAAAAGGTGGAGAGCAGAAGCACCTCAAGAATACAGCTAGGCATGATGTAATTCCATCCAGAAGAGTATGCCAACCTGCCTCAAATATAACCAGGGGCAGTCTGTTAGTCTTGGTTCTCCCATACTGTACCAGGCTATATAGATAGGTTATCTTAGGATATTGAGATGATGCTTTCTATTAACCATGAGGGATCTAATTGCAGCACCATGTGGGTTCACTCAGTTTGGGTTTTTGAAACTTAATATAGCCCTTCCCTGAAGTTTTTTCTTGGTCTTTCTTTTCCTCTCCAATTCTCTTCCCTTCTTTACAAGCAGCTGTCCCTCCACACTAGCTTCCTCAGCAATGGTCCCACTCTCTTTCTCAGTTATCGTCTCCTCCTCAGAGTAAATTTGGGAATAGACAGAGAATTTGGGAATTCAACCGTTCATGCAGCAGTTGTTCAGACAACTGGATTCATCTCTTCCAAGCAAAAGGAGGAGGCTAGATAGAAACTATGGGCTGTCAGGTGGACTACGTCGGGTGAGACTCCTGCTTCCGCTTCTGGGAACCTATGCTCACACACTAACGAGCAATTTAATCCTGGCCCTGAAAAGTTGCTATGAACATATACAACTAAATCACCAGCTATAAATTTAAAATATCTGTGACTTTTCTAAACTGAGTGGATTGCCTTTTTTGGCCCTTTTCTGTAGTCGGACTCTCCAACAGGCCATTGAACCAAACCCAATTCAAACAGTGGGTTAGCATCACAGCCGCCTGCAGCCACCCTGAAATCGTCCACTCCTCCTGCCCAAAGAGGCAACAGCGGGGAAAGCAAAGCAAATGGCTACAGCTAACATACAAATTCCTTAGCAACCAGGTCTTGAAGCTTCAGAACAAACACTTTTTTGTTGATCTGCTTTACTTGTGCATGCATGTTTCTTTGAACTAACTGCTAACAGAGCCGCTCCACTTTTTCTATGTGCAGCTAGAAATGGCCTCTTCAGTACTACATGGAAGGGTACATTATCATTGCCAAAACCCCCACCCCCCTGAATTCCTCCCTTTCATTTCCAGGCTGAATTCTACTTTCCTACATATCCATGACATTCACAGCAACTCCAGTGTTCTCAGAGTTACTGTGGATTTACACATCTGTAACCGAGAGCAACGTTTATCTCCCCCGTGGCTCCAATGCAATGCCTTCACAGCATGTGGCTGAGCTCAATATTCAGATTTGAAACTCTCCCATCGAACGATGTACTGCTGGGATAATAGTGCTCAACAGAGCACGGGGGTTGCCACTTCCCAATAGCTGAAGATATATGGAAATGGTTATTGATAGTGTTATTAAGCCATACTGAGATCACGTTACAGAAGGTATGGCCCATGAAGCAATGGGAAACTTTTTTCAACCCCTCTGGTCAGAGCTATAGTGCTTAATATTTTTATAGGATAACATATGCTTTAAAGTACTTCAGACTTCAGCTAATCTCCAGTATCACTCTGTGAGACAGGTGGAAAATATTATCTTCCTTAATTCAGAGCTAAAGAAACTAAGATGAGGAAGAGCCTACAGCTACAGAGGAATTTAATAGGAGAGAGAGGATTAAAATTTGAGACCTCCTGGCGGCAACTTCCCAGCTTCTCCTTCCAGACTGCATCACCATTTCTGATCATGCTATTATTCTAAACCTTATGCACAAACCTGGCTTGAACTACCTCCCACAAGCAGTAGTTTGAAGTATCACAGAAAGAGAAATAAAATAACGGTTTATCATACCACAAAATTATTTACAATAATCTGTTTTTGATAAACCCCAGTATGTGGCCACTAGAGGATAATAAAGACACATGAAACTAAATTAATTATACTTTCAAATAAAGACAAACTTTATAGAGTTCATTAATTTTCTACATGGAAAGCCTACAGAAATGCTAAATAATATTCTTTTTCTGATAGCAACATTTTGAAGCTTATTTTAGCAGAGCTTATTTAACATTTCCTGATGCTATGAAAGTCAATTTATGCAGAAAAAACCCCAGCAGTCAGAGACTTGGTTATGCCATTTTCCATTGCTATGAAGATTTGAATCTTACTTTTTCTGAAAGCATCTTTAAAGAATTCTTCAAGCTGTCTGGAGAATGCTGGCTTGCAGAATTAAGCAGCAGGTCTGCATGGCTTGATATGAGAGGTTGTAGATGATTGATGTTGCTGAGAACTTCTTTTGCCTTGGCTGTGTTTTCAGGTGAATAGTAAATACACTGGTATCCAGTACTGTAATAACAGAGAAAGAATCACACAATGTCAAAATCATTTCCGCTATTAATAACAGTGCTTAATGTGCTAAAAATCTTACCACTAGTTTTGCAAAAAAATGACAGATACCTGAACTTAACTGATATAATTGAAATGTTCCTTCCCTTAAGGGTGAAAACAAATCATTGCTTGAACAGTAGAGGACAACGGACTGCCCACCACCAAACGCTCCAAATAGTATACTGTTCAACCTAATCATCCCTTTGAGTGATTGATCTTAACGTAAGAAGAATAGATTTTTACTTATTTATTTTAAAAAGTGTAATTATGGAGAAACAAAAGGTTTGACCAAGTCAGGTAATAATCACAAAGAGCATAAGGGTCCTTATTTTTCCAACTGAACTCCCCATCACATTATTAATTACCTCACTAAGTCTTTCAAAATCAGTCATTAATGTTTAATTGATCAGAAGCCCACACTATGTTTTGATTAGCATTAGTGACATCCAGGAAGTGGTGATAACCAGAGTTATTTCCAATAAAAACCAGGTGTCTAATTTGCAAGAAAAGACACAGAAATGGGGTATGGGAGTTAATTACTACAAAACCACACAAATGCATACTGCAAACTTCCTACTTTCCTTTTAACTGTTCACAAACTACTGCAATTCTTTTGCATGACTTCTTTTCCTATCGCTCTTTTTTTTCCCTACTAATTATGCAATATTCTTGCAGTTTCAGATTAACCTGTAACGTTCATACAGGAAAAAACATAACCAAGGAACTCCTGGAACATTACCAATGCCAGAGCAATGTACATACTACTCCCCAGTTGCTTCTGTATGTATGTCCCTTCTTCCGTCTTGTGTCTTTTCATCATACATCCTTCAACCTCTTCCACCCTTTCCCCACTGATTTAATTTCTTTCTTAATTTCACATATCAAGATCTGAATTTTGACACTCCTGCAATCTTTTGAACTTCACGCATTGCTTTTCATTCCAGTCTTTTTCCAGATCTCTTCACTCCCCCTTTTCCCCTTTGTGTTTCTAGTGTCCCTTCCAGTTTCTCCTCATTAGTTTTCCACAAATTAGAAATTAAATTTAATTCAATAAAGGACACATGCAACACACATTCAGAAGTCCAAATGAAGTTACTTCCATAAAACTCAAAAGGCTTAAGTCTTTTGGCAAATAAGGATAGATTCAAGCAGTCTTAAAATTAAGCCTCTTGCTTAGATACTTTGATGAGTTACAGTCCCAAATTCCACAATACCCCATCTTATTTTTCTGTCTTTCACCGATGTCTCCATTTTTCGACACAGTTCTTTGTAGAGGCAGTCAGGATGAATGGCATCTGAGTCAGCGAACTTTGCCGTGATCAGTCATGCTACCAGCCACACCAAAATTACTATGCGTCTCCAATTTGCAGTCCACTACGTGGGTTGCTAGACTGCTGAGTGCACAGGTCAGAATTCTGAATATTTCAGCAAAACCAATCGTATAAACTGCCTCTCCTAATGAATTGGGCAAAAAAATCCCTGTCCATCTGAGAAATGAGGAAACGGCCACAGCTTTGCCTTCAAGGTGGCAACACTGGTAGTGAAATGAACTTCCAAAGTTGGATCTCTCTATATATTCACTGCAACTCTCAAGCTGTCAGACTCAGTAGACAGGGCAGGGACAAAGAGTAATAGTCTATGTTAATTGTAGTGAAGGCATAGTCTTAAAAGTCTTGATACTTCACAGTGCTGAGTAATCTTCTCTAATTCCCCTTCAGGCTTCTCCCCCCCTTTCTCAAACAGCCTTTTTGCAGGCCGAATCTGGCTAACACTGTTATCAAGCCTACCCTGCACATACTCCTTTCTGGGATTCCCCTCAGCCTTTAATTCCCAGATCATTTTCACTGATCTCCCACAACTCTAAGCTTCAGTGAATGTTGCAGCAGAAAAGCTAAAGACAATGGTAAGAAAACAAAGAGGGAAGAGAGATACTAAACCTGTGGGTAGGTCTCATTCTAATACAGTCAATCATAGCTTTTAAATAAAGGAAATAGTGAAGAGAGAATGACTCTTTCTTCAGAATGAAGTGTTCTATCAGGCCTCATTATTTGGCTAATTTTAACACTTCCTGAACCCCAGAAAGCATGAGATGACTCCAAATATTCAGTTTCTTTCAGAATTTGAGCGCAACTTCCCCTTTCCCCTCAAGAAAGTGAGTAATTATTTTTCAGAAGCAACATGTTTGGGAGTATCTGAAGTTTCTAATTGTTGTGTCTCGACACTGTTGCATCTAAGATTACCCTGAGATTTTCTGTGGCCTTACCATCATGAAAAGACATTACTACTTCCAATTAACTTATAATTGGAAATTAGTTTCCTTATAAATAACTAGTTTTAGAGCTTGCTGGCACATATAGCTATGGTATATAAGTAGTATTACTTAAAAGAAGCAGCCACCAATAGAACATATAGAGAAACTTTTTACAGGTGTCCTAATGCAGAAACTAGGTGAAGGGAATTACAAGTCTGAAGAAATTTTTGCATTAGGGCAAAGGCCACATGGGTAGGTCCGGTGCTGGCAACCAGCAGCACTATGACAATTTACCTTTGATATGTAAAATAAATTATTAGTCATGTACCTTTTGAAAAAGTCTATAATAATGTCTTCTGGGTTAAGTTTCAAAGTTTTTACTAAGCATATAAAATCATACTTAATCACTTCCATATATTGGCACCATCATTAACTATGTACACATGACTGCCAGTGGTCATTTCAGTTTTAAAATTGCTTTAATGACATTGTCATGTAATTTGAATAAATATTACATTGACTACATCTGCAGTTTTAACTCTAAATTAACAAAGTTTTTGCCTGAGAATAAATACTGCAATATGCTAAATGTCTAATTTTTAATGACACTCCGAGTAACTCCACTCCTGCTGTTAACTGAGTAATTTGTGTGACTGAGTTAAATTGTCACCATCTGGGACTGGGTTAAATTCTTTCAACAATGAACATTTGACCTCGCATTTTTCACGGTCAAAACCACAGACATTAACATCAAGAATACAGTTAAAGCATAGACAGCAAGAACATCTACCCCCAGATAACCTTGAGCTTGCGTACATTACTGAAGATACCAACTCAGTGGCTTATTTATACATCACATGTATTCTGTCTAAAGTGGGAAGTTATGTTCAAAAATAAATTGATTACATAAAAAACCTCAGGACAATTCACTGCCTCAGGCAATAAAACTAAACCATATGATCAGTGCTGAGGCTTTGAAAACAGGCCTGAGAGAGTTCAGAAGTTCGAATTAATTTTCTGTATTTTCTTAAGATTCCCTTGCAAACTTGGAAATTCTAACTTTGAATACTGAAGAAAATGAAATTATGTTATTAGTTCTGTCTAATCTATCTTTACTTATGAAGTCCAAATCTTCATGAATCCTTATCTTGAAGCAATGGCTAAGGCTGTATGCACAGAGCTTCTCTTGCTGCTCTTCTATTTCCTCTTCATTCCTAACTGACCCCTGGAATAACTCCACATCAGCTGGTAACGGGACATGAGTTTCAGTGAAAGGAAAGGTCAAGACGCCCTTCGTCAGCCCCCTAGAGACCTAGGTAGGTCAGATGCCAGAGTGGCATAGGTGAATCTCATAGTGAATCTTCCCAGGAAGACTCACTTCAGGAAGGTGGAATGCCTAGGGAAAGCCTTCCACAGTTCTTTAAATTAATTTCAAAATATCTTTACATTGGTGGAAAGATGCAAGTAGCCTTTAACATAGGGGAGAATCTTATGCAGGGTAACTGAGCATGGTTCTTATCAGAAGAAAAAAAGGTATTGTGCCTCAATACAAGCCTGAGTCCAAATGGTGCCTTTCAGCGGACCCTTTTCCTGGCAGTCGGCTGAAGTGCGCATTACAAGAAAGGACGGCAAAGTCATGGATCTGCTCTCCTCCTTCTACTCCTAGAGTCCACGTATCTGGAACAGTTTCTTGCTCTCCAAAGCATATGGTCTTTTCTAACCTTCGCACGCAAAGCTCCCCCAACTCCTTCTTCCCTTCTTTTTCCAGCCCCAGTCCCCTTTCTTTTATGACTGCTTAAGGAGGAAATGCTTCTGGCATTCTAGCCGCTGGAAAATACTGTGATGAGATTTTTATATCTCAGTGAACAGCCCAAACTTTGGCAGTTTCTCAGCTAAACTTCCAACAACCTTAATACATTGATTTTATGGTCAGTGAAAAAATGTTCATCTCCATGAAGTCTAATCTTTCTCTCTCACACACACACAGATACACACACACACAGAGATGCAAAAAAAGGGAAAGTGAGCAAAGATTAACGTCTCTGTGAAAAGTGCTATGCGTGCTGTGGTTTCCCTTTGAGAATAAAGATTACAATTAGATCAAACACAATTCATTATTATTTCAACATCTCTGGGATTTTCTGTGAAACAGTACCATTTCAGGTTCCTCAGACAATGGAAATGGGTTGAAGGTTATGAAACTCAGGTAATAGGAACCCTGAAGATCTCAGTGTTAATAAAATCTCTGGTAATGAGTATGTTAGTGAAGGAGCACACCTCATACCTTGACCAAAAATCTAGGCCTCGTCAAACAAAAAAGGGTCCTTTTAGACAGTTCAAACCCAAATTAAATTATTATGGCTTTAAAAAAAAAATCAACAGAAAATCCTTTTCAGTACTATTCCAGCTTCAAGCTTGTGCTAATTTAAAGCAGGATAATTTCTAAAGAACTCGCTAGAAATGGTGTACAAAACCATAGTGAATCACAGCACCTAATGCAGCTTGTGGGCCACCTCTGTTTTTCTTGATGGTTAGTACTGGGGCATTAAAAATCTTGTAATCATAAGTCTATGTGTTTTGGCTAAAGCACAGACCATCAAATTAGATTTTAAATAAGAAAAAAAGTCCTTGGAGTACCTTGAAAGCGATTTATGAACATTTCAAGCAGTGAGGCATTATACGGGTATAACTTACAAAATGTCTGCCTTAAACATTCCTGCAGAACATAGCTCTAAAAATAATAACTTGCTGTGCCATCTAGACTGATGAGAAGACAAGCCCTTCCATTTGCTGGAAGGAGAAGTAATCTATACTAGCAGGCCAACAGAAGACTGAATCTGAACAACTGACTGACTTTCTCTTTTAGCTAGAAATAAGGAAGGAAATAATAAAAAGAACAAACCAATACAGCATCATGAAAAGAAATTCTAAAATAAATGTATATCATACACAGATAATTAATATTCTGCAATGAGTTAGCATGCCTTTATCATCACACTTCAATTATTTGAATTTAAATGCTATCATGTCTAAACAAGATTAAAAAAACCCCATCCTTTGTTCTTACTGGTCCTATGAAGTTCACTACTAGCTACTAAAGGGACAGACACACTAGAGTCATGCCTTATAGACGTGCCTGATGTTTGTAGCGGTAAAGCCTTTTATCTGTTTCTTTGTTGCAGATAAAGAACAGTCCAGATTGTGAATGGGTTATAAAGCAATGGGATTGGGTTCAGATCACAATACCACTAAGTCTTGTTTTTCACCCGAAAGAAAAACTTTTCTCCCTCTTATTTGAAATCATATTTTTAGAAATTTACCTTTTTTTTCTTTTAATATGACTTGCTTGGTGGTAACAAATGAGAAAAGAATTGCAAAAACATTGCATTTTTTATAAATATTATTATACAATACCTTCCCCTCTTTTGTCTGCACAAAAATGTATATTCTATGTAATAGAAAATATGCCAGACCTATCTTCAGATACACATTTTCCACATTCTTCTGTTTGATAAACTTTCATGAAACGTATGTTTCACTCGTTTTAATTTGGCAATTGCAAATGCAATTACACTCTTGCAAAGTGGGAAATAACCTTGCTACCAGTTAACAGTTCCTCTTGTCTGTCAATTCCACAAGTATAGGTTTGAGCAAGGAATATTTTGTGATATGCTGACACTGTTGAATATTTCAATAAACTGTTCTAATAATCAGCCTGAAGGTCAAAGGCATGCAAGGCATTCTGTCATGTGCACTAACAATGTCTTGAAAGCTACTGGGATTGGCTTCAGAAATAATCTCTTCCCACATCTTCCTCTAGGTCTTCAGCTCAGTTAGCCTCGAGGAAACAGCTGCTAAATCTGCATTTTTTTTCTGTTCATTTTATATTCTGACTGATATCTCAAGGTGCCACTTCTTCCTTCAACCAAATCTTCAGAAACGCTGCTCCCATTGTAAAACAGAAAATTTAAATTGTAAAAGCTGCCCCTGGAAATGCTATGTGTCCTCAAAGCATCCTCATGCAGTTAAACAAACAGGTGCCTACAAAATAAAGCTGTCATTGCCACAGTGAAAGAAATTTCTCCGCGGTAAGAATGAGGATGGTCCTTTTGTGTATCTATTTAAAGTAGACGCACTCTTGAATATTCAAAATAAGTGAGATCATATTCAGAGCTTGCTTTCTCCTGTCTTTCGACTCATACAAGTTCTTCTAGTTGAAGAAAAAAAAAAAAAACAAAACCCAACCATGTGGAGTTTCCTCTGAGCTGCCCTCAAAGATAGAAGGGAAGATGAATTTTGGAGGTTTCCTCCTTTCTACTTCATGGGAATTCATACACTAAGCGACCTTTTCTTCAGGTCTGGTAAGTGATTCGCTAAAAATTGCAGTCCCCTGTTTTGCGTGCTCAAACCTAAGTTTGTCAGCCTGACTCAGGCTCTTTTTTTAGGAAGAGTCTGACAGGATAGTAATATAGTTACCCTAGTTATGTCATCCTAAAGACAGACTTTTGCTCTTCCAGGGGAACAAAGAAACACAAAGAAAACTGCACTGTCAGAGTAAAGGTCCAGTACCCTGTCCTTGAAAGTCACCAAAATACAGGCGCTTCTGAGGGACGCAGAAAAGTTTAAGCAGCAGGACAAATATAAGGTGATGTGTAAGCACTTGGAAATAGGTATGAAACGCCTTGATAAAACCTGCACAAAGCTTTACCCAGTGCTCCTGAACACAATCCTCTATCAACCTAGAGATCTACATGGTCTGAGTCAGTGAAATAAGGCTGAATGAAAATGAGAAGAGGCTGTGCTGCGCTGAGTATCCTTTGCCACTCTTAGCCTTTTGACAGGTAACATTGCACAGGATGCAAAGAAAGGAGTCTAAACCATCACCTTCTCCTCTCCCCTTGTTATGGGCAACTAAGAAACAAGGGCGTTGTCTATTCGTTCCTATGAGATACTGCAGAACGTGTTCTCCCAGGAAGAACTCAAGAAAGGCTAAGTTTCTTCCCTATAAGGCATTTTCCCTTTTTTCTCCAACGAACAGAAATCACAGATAATAATTTCAAGTTTGCATCACAGCTATCCTCCATTTTGGGAAATCACATTCTGCCAATGTGGATATGCTGCAGGACCGTGCAAGTGAGAAACGGTTCATTTTCTGAAAGCTGAACACTGTGAGGACTGGAACTGCAAAGTTCTTTATATCACTTATGACTTCAATTTCTTCTTATGAAATATAATAAAACCCCACTAAATACTATCACAACTATTTTAATCCGGTAGTTAAGTAGCAGATACTTTAAGAAATGTCTTTAGACATTTTCTTCATCAGGAAGCATGTACTTCATAGGCCTTCATATCGTGGGCTGCCTATACCAATCTGCCGACAGCAGAATAGGTACCTACTGTTAACACAAAGTCCATTCATGTGATCAATGATACCAGTGTTTCATTGGCAACTTTTGTCACCAGAGGTGGCCAGGGAAATGAAAGATTTTAGAAGATTTAACAGGGTTTTTATGCCATGTAGTGCAAACAGGAAAAATAATTATAATACAGTTTTCAAAGCAGATGTATCTGCTGGGTTTTGTTTGGTTTTAGCATTGATGCCAACTTGTAGTCAACCTAGAAGTCAACAGTAGACTTTTATAATTTCTCCTTTTATTCTTTATGATACTGTGCCTAGGAAACTTTTTTGAGCATTGAATATATTGGAATTCATTTTCTACGGAGCATTGTGATGATTTAGATTAGCGTACATACCGTACTTCCTGCATTCCCTTTCGAATGCTGTGCCACTGATTGCATGGGGTTGGCACAGTTAGTCCAAGTGTTGAGCAGTCACAACTATGGGTGCTGCCAGTGACAGCTGTGGCTGCTCGAAACTTCTTAACAGCCATAGCAACAAACACAAATACGTCCAATTCTTAGTAAAATATGGAACTCACACTTCTGTACATGTTCAGTGGTTAACAAAGCATTTGAGTATGGCAATAAACTGAAACCCTAATCAAGGCCTTTATCTTTGCTTAGTCTCATTTTGTCTTTCTGAAGAATAAGAAAAAGAGTAGTTTCTTATTTACTTCACAGGCGTGCTAAAAATATTTTTTGTTCACATATGCCCAGGGCTGTCAGAAATGAAGATGCTACCTTAAGCTACTGTTTCTTTATTGAAAATTTGTCTATAGCTACTTTCCACTTAGCACAAGAATTACTGAAGAGATACCTCATTCTGAACAGCATGTCTTCAAGCTGATACTCCTCAAGTGTCCTGAAATATGGGAAGGAAATTTCACAACTTTGAGTTTGTGTTCAAAATAAGTAAACTGTGCTTCAATTTTGCAGTCCAGCAAAGTAGGGAAGATAAAGGAAGTATTTTATGAATGCATCCTTGTCCAGTCCTACTAGATTTTAATCTTCCATGCATTCAGCAGGGTAAACTCTTTTGTTACTCAGTAAGCTCATAACATTTTAATGCAACTTCAATGTTATTTTCCCTAGTAGTTTACAAAAATACTTACTTTCGTCTTTCTGCCTCAAATTTACTCAGCAGTTTTCGGAGACCACCATTCTTAAATCCTTGGAAATGGGCTGCCGGGGCTCCCACGGTGATGACATCATACAGAGCATCTGGAACAGGAACAGACAAGCACAGAGATTTACATGTGCCTATGCCCAAGGTATGCCAACACTATGATATCTACTCTATGAGACGTGAGGACAACAAGTTTGTATTATTTCCAAGGAATAATCGAGAATCTGTGTCTCAAGGAGGCCCAAGAGCTAATAAATCTTTCCATACAGCCACCTGCACACCTTAGAAAGCTTACCTGATTTATTGCTACATCTAAATTATATGCCACAGTGTAGAACAATATTCTAGCTCTGCAGTTTACAAAGCTGCCAAGTAAATTGGCCCTTTGTGTATTTCACTTTATTATCCCTTTCATTATTTAACTTGCAGTCATGTTGAGATGCACAGATTCATGCATTTTGGAGTCGAAAGAGACCATTATGATGGAATAGTCTGCCTGCCTGAATAACACAGGCTACAGAATTACAGCTAATGATTCCTGCATCGAGCTTATGTCTTCCGGTTGAGTGAAGGCATCTCTTTTTTTTTTTAATCAAAAAAAAAAAAAAAAGAAAAAAAAAGACATCTAATCTTGATTTAGAGACTTCAAGTGACAATGAATTCACTGCATTCCCAGAGAAGTTGCTCCAATGATTAATCGATCTGACTAGTAAAATTCTCTACTTCTTTTCTAGTTTGAATTTGTATAGCTTCCACTTTCAGATATAATTACCTATTTAATGCTAAATTGAAGAGCTCTGTTCTATAACATATACTTAGTTTTTACATATGCTTATAAACACAGATCAAGTCAGTTGTTTTCACTTGAAAAGCTACCAGAATGGGAAATAAACTATACTATTGAAATTTTTGCTGAGACAACAAACTGTTGTTACTCTCTGTATGTACCTGACGTCTTGTGATATACATGATTAACTTTTTCTATGGATGTATGCTTACAGCACTGAAGATGAAACACCTTTTTAAAAACAGCCTCTCATTTTGTGCCTGTGATTGATTGTCAGTGCAGAGATGAAGATTTAATTACATCCCAAACCACAATAATTAGTCCTTCGAAGTTTAAATTTACATTTGCACTAAGCAGTACCTGTTTTATGCCCAAGCTCACTGGAGGTATAAAAATACAGGTCAGAATGCCTCATTCTTAAAACTTATTTCTAAAGGAAACATTAGAGGATTTTTTTTGTGAACTATTTTATTCATCAAGGAAGCTTTCCATGTAAATTAAATCTAATCCTCTCCTAAAATAGAACTTTTCTTGCATTCTGATGATAAATATCCCTAAAAGCAAGAACACTGTACAAATGATTCACAGTTAATGAACTATGTTTTACTTGCAGAGCTGAATCTCAAAGCATATTCGCTCAAATTGATTTGAACTCCAATGAATTGGTGACTCTTCCATTTCCACTTAAAAGGAGAGGTGACATAATTTCATTAGCCTCAGGTGAGCTTCAAGATTCTTAAATAGCCCATTCTTTCAGGTCTTCATAGAGATTTATCCATAATACATAATCTTGGGCTATTAGAGCTCCGTTGGTACTTGACAATAAGAAGTTCTATTGCTTAAAACAATGGTGGCTTGAAACCAAAATAAGAGATGAACCCAGCAGGTTAACTAGATAATGGCTTCTGAATATGTTTACAGATAACTCATGAAACTACATTTAAAAGACTAAAGCCTGGTGCTTTTTCCGACTCTGTTGTAAAAAGAAATAAGAACTTTGGGGGGGATTTACCCAGAAGGAAGCTTGCATTCAGCCTGTGGCCTCCTCTTGCACGGTCAAGGAGCAGCTGTTTGAGCACAAACACTCCCAGAACAGCTGAGCACCTACCCCATGCAACCGAACGTGGGAGAGTGAGGGTGGCAAAGAAGAAGAAAATGTCTACGACCCTGGCGATGGGCACGGGGCAGTCTCACTCCCACTTTCCAGAGCACAGTACACTGGAAAGTGCTGCAAGACTCGGGGAGGAATGCCTTGTGATATGCTCCATTTACACATCAGTGCAGCTCCTTGTGAAGGACGTGCCATGTCAGCATGAGTGCACTTGTACAGGAATGCTCCAGTAACTCAGAACCATCACCCGCTTCAAGAACAGACTACTGCCGACAACTCTCTACAGTGGAGACAAAGCTTGAAATGCAGCAGAGAGTTGTAGGAGCTGTATCTCATTGTCAGTTTGCTCCCCCCAAATTATTAATTAATAGATGTTAAAAAAACCCTCAACCCTTCCTCAAATAATTACTTTAGAATTTGAAGGAAGAAAATGCAAAAGATTAGAGTGCAAGCAAATTGAGCTTTAAATCAATCATCATTTCATACTAATTATTCTGACTCAAAGATACACTCACCTTCTACTTATACAAGTGAAACACTAACACCAGTTACACTCTCGCCAAAAACCAACAATTCCTTCACCGTGCAGAAATATAAACTACCTGCTCATCAGTCCTTCCCGAATAAAACACAGAGCTTTTGCAACATGGTGACAACCACAGTGGCACGGTAGAAGTTCCACAAACCTAAGCTTTATCGGACCAATTTAAAAGAGCTGAGGGATTTTTATGTCAAGCACTGCCCAATCTCAAATTTGAAGCAACCTGCTTGCCTTCACAGGAGGCAGTCAGTGTCTCACACCGGCCAGAAGCAAAATAAAAATCTCTTCAGTCCACCAAATTTATTTAAAACAAGCACACTTACTGTATAAACAGGGACAAAAGCAAAGCTATGGCAATATATAAATTTAACTTCTGTAGTATGATGAAGAGAGCAAAATGTGGTGTTTATCAAGTGGATAGAGATACAGTTATCCCATAATGAAATAGTATTTTTCTTAAAGCTGTTCCTACTGGAAGTTTAAACATACAGGTATTTTCTATTCCATGTCAGTACCCAGTAACAACCCGAATCAAAGTTCAGCAAAAGTAAACCTGTTATTGAACATGTTGAACAAAAAAGCATATAGCCATGTGCATACACATGATAGATGGGATTAAAACCTATCTTGCATTCCCAAAATTAAGATATCTGACAGTGTAAGGGTTAATGACAGCTTTATGGCTCATCAGCTTGTTTAATCACCACCTCTGTGAATGTTTAAATGCTTTCTTTTTTTTTTTTTTTTTTTTTTTCTTTCTTTCTTTCCTCCTATCAGTCTCCTTCCTGGAGACAATCTTCAATTACTTTGGTTATATTTATACTATAGTACTACCAAAATATCCTAAACATATTGAGGAATCCATTTTGGATACAGAGAAATAAAAAGAGCTCCCCATAACTAAGGTGTCAGTCTTGCAAAAATATGTGTAGGCAGAAATTCCCTGATTTTAACACAAGTTCCCTTCTTTACTAACGTTTCACAATCTCTAAACTTGAGTGTAACAAGAACAGTGTTATCTAATTCTCATGTCAGTGGAGTGAACATTAGCTAAAGAAAAAAGACAGAGTTTTATAATTTAAACAAAGTTCTAAATTTAGAAAGTAATTCTAATGTTTATCTCTTTCTGTACCCTTTTCAATTATGGATTAACCATATGCCACAAGCGAAGTGGTTTTGGAGGAGAAAGGAGAAAATTCATTAAAAACAAAACAAAACTCAAGTACTGTAAAAGTTGTGGGTGATTAAGTAAGTGGCATATTTCATTCCACTTTTTTATTTAGCAAATAAACATACAATGCCCTGTTCCCAGAGAGGTTTTCTTGAAAAGACATGAAATTAAGATTCTGGCTACCTGTAGTCATTACAAACCTAAAAATGCTTTTGAGTTAATTAAATAAATTCAAAACATCAGCTAAATTAAAATTTGTGCTGTCATATTCCATCACTATAAATCCCCATCTTGTTAAAATGTTTGCAGGCACTGTTGTTTAGTAAAAGAAATAACAAAATATTGAACCAACACAGTATCTAACAGACAATCAGAAGTCCCCGTGTCCCAACTCGGAAGTGGGTGAACATCACCAGTACACAGAATAACACTCCGATAATCATAGTTTGTACTTACTATTTTACAGTGTGCTTAAATGCAGAGCATATTTACAAGGCAAAAACCCTACAGAGTGTAATTTCTGTCTTTCTACAGTGACAGCAAATTTAATAGATCTCAATTTATCAAAAAATTTCACTGCACTATGATTTGCTCATATGTATGTATCAATATAATCCTTTATTTGTAAAGGATGCTGGTAAAACTATATGCAACCAGCAGCAACAGAATTCTGTATTAAACAGAATCACAGACGACATTCCAGAAAATTATCCCTCTTTCCAGAAGATATTAGAAGTTTGCAGTATTTTCAGCATAATGAGTGAGATATTTGCACTTAACACTAAGCAAATGCTTACGTGGCACAGTGTAGCACTGAATAAGCTGATTTGGGCACAAGCAGCGCTGGGCTCATTAAGGCTTCGTAAGAAATAGGATATACTAAGTTTAGAAGTAGCACTGTCCTTAATGGAAACGTGCAACTTGCATCACCTAGGCTGGTGAGCTCATCCTGACAATCTCTGGGAAGAAGTGTATTGTGCTCTATCACTATCTCTGGCGGCACACTGGGAAAAAAAAACCCAGCCACCTTAGAAACAAGACAGGTAAGACTGGCTTTTACACGACACTGGCATTACGGATCACAATGAAAAATTAAGCCGATGCCCTAGAAGGATGTGAATCTTACTGAAGATTGTGCAGTGTGTCAGTATGAATCATGACAGTATTAGTTCTGCACTGCTACAACAGAATATTTTTAACCACGCATAGGTTACCAATACATTTCAGTGAACATGTATTCTGTATTTACTTATTTGTTTGAAGCGTCATAGAAACAAAATGAGCACGACACCCTTGGAATTTCTTTTAAAAAAAGAACTTAAAAGAAAGTTAGTTAACCACTCCTCAGTTTTCCAAGATCTGCAGTCAGTATCCAAAACTTGTGGCTTCAGAAGATGAGACAGAGAAATCCCTTGCATAGCTTTAACTTTGGACCTGATTCCTAAATTTCAGCACAGACTCAGGACTTCAGATCAATTTCAGCAGCAGTATGTCTGGGTGCAGGTTTCAGAATTTGTAGAGAAACGTGGAGGACGGGCAAGCTGGTCACTTCTTTGATCTCATGGTTTACTTAAGTGTGGTCCTCTACGGACAGTACATACTCAGTTGCTCTAGAAATATACCAAACACCACCCAAAACCAAAAGCTTGGGTTTTAGAAGCAGATGCACAGGCCCGAGAGAATGAAATCAAACCCTTCAGGAAGACAGGCAGGTCCCAGATACGTACACAAAACAAAGGCAGGAAATAACCACAGAAAGTTTCTAGAGCTCATTAAACAAAGTGAAAAATTAAACACTTTAAACGTGTACAGCAGCACAGATTTTTAAATAATGAATTTGGAAGCTTGATTTTGATTTTATTAAAAAAACTAAACAACCACCAAACAAGCCAAAAAACCAAGCAATAATCTAGACATACAAGAAACCTTCTGTATCAAGCCATACCGCATGAATCTTACAAACAAGCCAATACTGTACAAACTTCATTGACTGGCAAAACACATGCAACATGAAATGAATCTCAGAATTTTCTTTAAAAGTCACTGTATTGCTTGTGATATTCTTTTCTGCTCAGCATTCTTCCAAATCCATGTAAGCCAAAATTGCACATAAATTTACTAATAAAAAAAATAATCAATTTAATACTACTACTTTCCATGCTTTTCCGTAGCATCTTTATGTCCCACTTACAAAGTTTAACAAGACCGTTGCCAGTATCCTACCGTTAAGTGAAAAATTCAAAATGACCAAGATTCTACTCTCTAAACAGCATACCTTTCAGTTCTATTGTGGTTTTAAGGTTTCATCAGAAAGCATGTCCACCTAATGTTCGTCCTTGAAACTGGATATATAAATTAAGACATTTTCATCTTAAAAAGGGCTAAAATGGAAACCATACCTCTCAGTTGTAAGTTTAATTGTATTTCAAAGCATACTTTGTCATACTGAGGGAATTTCTCCACAGAATATACTTTACCTTTCAATCGAGGACTATGGACATGCATTCTTTGCAGATGAAGATTTATTGGAATGAATTCTAATGTTTTTTCTCCTTTGCTACAGCTTGATTTGAAGGAAGAACCTGAAAAACAAAAGTTTAAAGAATCATTATCTTAAGCACCCAGCAGATGTCTTGTCTTCTTTTTAATGTGAGGACAATACTTGTATGTTAGGAGTCGTCTTTAATTTACTTTTAATGTGTAATTGTATATTAGAAGAATGGTTCACTAACCGAGTCTCAGCATGTATCCATATTGGAAGCAACAAAACAGCTTTTAATTCACAGAACAATCTAATTTTTTATTCTAGGTGATAGACATTTTTTCCTGCTGTCTGAAATCGGTCTGCAGCCTGCTGGAAACAATGTCACAGTTAATGTGCATTATGTTTATTCTGTGCTAAAAACACAGGGGTACAGCTATGATGGTACTACACTTTCACCAAGTAACATTTTTTCTTAAAACAAAAGTATTACATTGACTAGCCTATGCATTCTTCCTAGAAAGTTCAAATAAAGAAACATAAACTAGCTTAAGAAAAGCTATAAATTAGTTTTCTTTCTAAAAAGCCAGAATCACAAGAAGCACAATGCTCTGGGGGGAAAAAAAAAAAAATCTGGTTGCATACTTCAAAAGTATGAGATTATGAGTAACCCTATGGTGGTATAAAGGAATATATGAAAATGTAATTTACCTGGAGATATTTGAAACAGCATATATATAAAATAAAAAGGTATAGATTAGGAAAGAGAGGTGGTCCTGTCTTCTCACTCAGCCAGCCCAACATTTACTTAGACCATTTTTTCAGCAACCTATCATTTTGCCAACTATTAATCCATTGGACTAAAGTTCCTCTGATTCAGATAGGATTTTAAAAAAACCCAAAAAACCCCCAAAAAACCCAAACCAAAACAAAAATACCACTTTGGAAAGGTTCAACATTTTCTTGCCAAAAAAAAAAAAAAAAAAAAAAGGTAAAGGAAATATTTGAAATTCTTCTTTTTGACTTGCTCAATCAAGATTTGCTAGAGTTTATCTGTTGAAGCTGCCATAGATTCCAATATGAGCCTCCCAATGCAAATCACATTGCCAGAGGGCACCAATGATGCTCCAGACCAGCTTAGGCTGCTACCTAATCTTAGTAACTTAAAATAATAATTTAACAATTTAACAAAGATTAAGGTAGCAAGAAAAGCAATTGACGGGAGTCAAAGACTCAGATTTGATAGGAAGTCTGGGGATGCAGGCTGAAACCAGGAGTTGTGGATAATGAGGAATAGCAGTAGGAAACCTGCATCTGGAAAGCGTAAAAAGACAAAATTATGGGAGCAGTGAAGGGAACTCGAACTGTATCAGAAACAAAACAGGAATAGTGCGGATGAGGAGATTGTAAATCATTAGGAAAGAAAACAGAAAGGGGGCAGTTTACTTATGAGAATTCAGCTGAGACCAAGATCAAAGCTTAAGGAATGATAAGTGGATCTGAGACAAGGAATCACTGTCAGACTAAGAGGAGAATAAGGTGACAGCAGATTAAGAGGGACTGGCAAAAGAAGAGTAGGGGGGAGAAGAGCTTGCTCTCCCTGGAGTACACTTCTATCCTGAGCTGGAGTAGAACACATGCAGCATTGCCGAGTCTTGCTATTCCTCTTCTCAGGGAAGACCTGTGAAGCAAGAATCCCTTCCCGTCCAGTGCCAGAAACATATGGGATAATAACTACCCACTGCTATCAGTTATTCTGTTTACTCAGGTATGAGAGATCCATGCAGTGGGATAAAGATCTCAGTCTGCGTTTGCCAGTATCATCCATATGATAAAACTAACTTTCAGTATAGTTTGTGGTTTGTTTTTAAATAACTTGGTAAGTTGTACTTAAGGACCAAGAAAACTACATTCCCTCTATTAAAATAGTTGTCTTTATTATCATTGCAAGATTAAACTCTTCAAAGTTAGGAAATGCCAGAATATAGACGCAATCTTCATCTGACATCCACCTGAAGAGGAACTGTGAAATAGACTTCAATGACATGTTACATACTAGCTCTTTCCAGCTCTTTGAATGTTTAGGGTCTTTGCCGCCCACTTTAGAAGCAGTGGTTCAATATGTTGTTTCCAACTTTTACTTCGGTATCTGGATTCAAATATATTGCTCAAGCCTCCCACAAAGACAGGATTATTAATTTCCTCAAATCTGTCTATTGCATGCATCACTACAGTTTCTAAGGGCTTTACAAATATTTATAGAACAATTTTGACTGGCTGAGTAAAAGGGTTATAATTTTATCCATTCTAATGGCAGAGAATAACTTAAGGTCGAAGCATTTAAGAAACAATGCATCAAAAAATGAGATATGGACGATGTCATTTTGCAGAGTATGCTTTATAATGCAACATCACATTCCATTTTGGAAGCACAGCTCCCACTGAGCTGAATTACATCCATAAGTACTGAGTACTTCTGCAAAACAGTTTGCGTCTATTGCCAGGCTTCCAAAAAAGAAGAACGCACACTAGCCGCTTCTGAACTCTGACTTGCCTAGTGTCACATAGGAACTTTAGGGATAGTGTCCAGTTCTCCAGAGCAATATTCAATTGCCTTAACCTCGATTGTCTTTTCTTCTCCTTCTAGGGCTGCATGAATAACAGAATTTTCAGTTTGATGACTGAAATGGAAAGAAAAAAAATAAAGGGGTGGCGAGTGAAAAATCATTTCAGGTCAAACTAAATCAAACAAAAAAAGTTTCAAAGTTATACTCCCTCCCCAAATCACCAAATCTGTGTTTTAGATTAACCTGAAATGATTTGTTTTGGTGTTACCTAACCCTTTTAGATTTCTGTTATTATGTTTCTTTGAAACAAAAATACTTAGCATTTTCTAAAATTCTCCCCCATTTTTGTGGATAAAAGTGTTTGCCAAAACAATTCAAATTTGAAACAGTCTTAACTTCCTTAAACCTCCACTTTCAGTAAATGTGCTGCTAAATCAAAATTGCTGTCTAACACTAATGCAGTCTCCTGATACTTTCAGTGCAATCTCTCAATTTTAAAAACAAATTTAGTGGTCTACTAACAACAGCCTTCTCCATTAAATGCCACAAATAGCTTAGTTGAGCGCGAAGTAGGTATCTCTCAGAAAACCCAACATGTGATTGTATAGGAGCAATGTGGAAATATTTTGGAAAGATTTTATTTACAGATGCTATCTCCCCTTCTGTACACTGCTTATGAGTGAACAGTCTTCCCTAGCACTGATACAAAAGGAGATGGGAGATATTTGCACCTAGATGACTGACATGGAGTTGGTCCTTCAGAACTGTTTCTGACAAGGTAACATGTAAAAAGCCCCTAGTTAAAGGAAAGCAATTGTTCAGTGAGTAACAAAGCAAAAATGCTAAACACGTTAACATTAACCCTGCTTTTGATGTACCAAGGAGAGAGATGAGTGTCAATGAGTTAGTGCTTCCACGTATCTCTGGCTGTCAAAATGGTAGTGAAGCAAAGGCAGAGGCAGAGGCAAAAGCACTCCTTTCCTAGAGGAATGCGGCCAGTTGGTCTTGCCTTAAAATAAGGTTTCCCAAAATAACAACCTGACTCAGGAATTTTGCATCTGAGGCCAGATAACAGAAGCCTGATCCAGTCCAGAAAACCAACCTTGTCTAGTTCTTAAGTAGAAGTACTGCTGATCGCGAGCTACCCCTAGGATGTAGGTGCCTGTTTCCAAGCAGATCTGGATCTGCAGTGCAGATGCACAGGTAACTCCAGAGCACTGCAGTTTTCATGCTGTTCCAGAACGGAGAGAACTGCCTCAACCCAAACTCGTGCAATGTGCTGACTCACATAAAGTACGAAGCCTACACAGGCCGAACTGTAAAGCAAAATCTTTTTTGGCATGAATCTCTGACAATGGGAAAGTAAAGACTGTGTTGAAATATGCTGACCTGAAGAGTCTGAATTCAAGTTGTACTCACATCTCTAATCTTAGCATTTTCTACCTTGTGAATACTTAAATTTCTAGTCTCTACAACGTTCCCTCAACATTATTTTTTGTGCAACTACAGCATGAAGTCAAATCTACGTCTGTCTTGCTTTCTTATCAAACACTATAATCTTGTTTTTTAAAGTTATAATGTGTGCTGTTTATAGAGAAGAACCATCCCAGATGGGAATGGAAGAGGAACCAGGACATCTTAAAACATGCAATGAATTTTATCCACGTCCATCCTATTCCTTCGAAAAAAAAAGCAGTAGGCACAAACTTCTGAAAACTGTACGCAGGGAAATTAATCTCTGTTTCACAGAGAATTGCAATTACTTTTTGCAGATGATCTAGGAAGAAAAAAAATCTGGTTAAAGTCAAGTAATGGACAGCAGAAGCATATAAGAACCTGTTCCAGATTTTGTTTTACTTTTGGGCAGCCAAATCCTACGTTGCCTAAGGATCAAAATGCACATTTGAGGTTTTAGCCTAGCTTTACATATATATACACAATACATTCCTCCTCCTCCCCCCCCAGTTTATATTTATAATTTAAAAATGTTAGACCTCTATGGAACAACTTCAAAGGGACACTCACTACTCAGAGGATTTATCATCTAATTTAATTTGTGATTTAATAAAAATAAAAATACTATGGTGCAGGGTTAAAAGTAAATATTGTCTTCATTACAAGGACTAGGCTATTATTTGGCTTTAGAATGTGCACATATCCCACTGATCACAATAAAATAAGTTTTCAAATGTTAAAGTAACTTTTCACACAAGATGTAATATCAGGCGTTTTCCAAGTATAAACAAGTATCTTACCGGCACTGTATTAGCAAGGGGGGAAAAAGGAATTGTTGAAGAAACGAGATTCAGGTATGTTCCTGAGTGTTCGCCTCCAAATTAACACCCCCTCGTTATTTCTCATCTTCACTACAATTATTACGTTGCTTTGGTTTTCTGCTTTGTTTCGTTTTCAGAGAAATGTTCCTACTCTTTTTTATAGTGCTGGTTCTGTCCCCCTCAATAATCTCAGGTTCCCTGGTCCACTGCAGTTCCCTCAAACCACAGTTAAGACAGGTCATTTAACATCACCAACCCTTTTCAAATTCACTTGGCACAATACAGGCCTTGCAGGATTTATGCTTAATAGATTACATTGTCTATTTTTTTTTTTTAATCTCAAAAGGTCATTTCAATATTTTCCTTCAAGTGATAATTATTACGTTGATTCCTTCATAACCTGTATTTATTGCCTTGCATATGATACTTTATGGAGCGCTTTCAAAATGTAATCAGCAAAGCATTAAAAAAAAAAAAAAAAAAGAATTAAAACACAGAAATGTAGGAAGTGTCATACTGGATCAGGAGGTAGTCTGCCAAAATCAGAACTGGAATATTCTGATGATAGTAAACAATCATAAATACAAGAAATTACACTTTCGCAACCAAAATGCAAATTTTTATACAATATTTAGTGTAACAGATGAGCTTCCCCCCCCCCATTTAAGCAGGTGATCAGCTGCTCCCAAAATGCTTATTTTCATTTAGAGACTGGTTTTTGTTCACACACTAAAACAGGATTTCTCTTTTCCTGTGACCAAGAAAGCTATCCCAGAGCAACCTGAAATGAAAAATACTGTGCTCAGTCCTGTATTACAAGATGATGAATAAACGATAAAAGTACAGGTTTAATGCCTATTTTGGAAGGGAAAGATTTGTGTCTCACCTACGAAATGCAGCAGATTCATTATAATAAAAGTAAATGCATGCAATTCTCTATAAGAAGAAATTATTCTGCTATGCATTTTAGTTGTATATTGAACTAAAACCTGACTGCTCCGTTAACTCAATACACAAAAAAGAGGTTTTGTCTGGTCTATGTGGAAAGCTAGAAATAATTAAGAAAATACTGCAAATTCTCCCTAAATATATGTCAGATACTTCAAAAGATGTTATCATCATTTATATCTCTATTTTTTACAAATATTCATAACCATAACGTATCCCTTTTTCAGAAATATTCTAGGTTGCAAACTTACGTATATGTAACACAACGCACAGCATTTACCTCTGACGTGCGCTGCTACGCCTACAGACACACAACTGTGGGAGTAAGGCCACCGTGGGAACATCTAACGGTGAGAATATAGAGCGAAAGAGCATACGCAAGGAATAATGGCAGCATGGTCATCGAAAACACATATTTGAGATGGTGATTGTGAGGACTGGCATTAGAAATCTGACACCAGCAAGAAAGCAGCAACAACAACAAAGCCTTTGTAGTAATTCAGAACAAATGTGCCCATTTCCTTCCAGAACATCTCAAAAACTGGGGCGGTGGAGGGGGGAGGGATGGGACACCAGCAGGAAGAGGCAAAAAGGCATACTATAAACAGACGGAAACTTTTGTTTGCTCAAAATACAGTGTTATTCAGGAAATAATTCCAGTAGTCTCACAAAATAGAAAAGAATTATCATGAGTTCCTTGAATGATTTGTGAATAATCAAAAGAAAAGACATTCAAAAGAAGAAATAATTTGTTCTGCAGTCTTTTCTTGTTCTTTTTATGAGTAAGAATTACTACAGGAGGAAGAGACCAGCTGCCTTTTCTGCACATTTGTCGCTGATGCTGTCTTATTCCACTGGCATGCAGACACTAGGATACGTTAACTGAACAAGCACCCAGTGCACATCAGAATGTAAGACCACGTTCTCCATATGAAAAAAAGCAAGGCAGTACATACTGCTATATCTGGACTGAGGACAGAATTGCCCATCCCATATTAATTCTTTGCTTTTGTGGCACAAGGTGGGCAATGACAACTACTACGCTAAGGATATGCAAAAGTATAGCTAGAGGTTACTGTTATCCTGTAGACTGTTAAATGTAACTTAGGTTAGGTTTCAAGAAAAACCGACAAAACTACCTCTAAGGCTGGTTTCAGTTGGCAGATGGTATTCAATACTAGCAGAGCAGTATATTCAAGGGGACGTGCAATTAGAATGCCCCCCCCCCAAATTTTCCAGGTTTTTTTGGCTGCTGTGTAACCATGTACCATGTTAACTGTGAAAAAGTGACGGAATGCATGAAAAAAATTTAGCAGAGGAAATAGGGCACCTGTGAGTATTTCAGAAATACGATGATTACAAATATTTCTTTTTTTTTGTGTTTTATTTCTGCTGAATACGCCACTATTTAATAACAATCAATCTACTTAAGTCTTAATTGCTCCAGGAGAGGAGAGGCTACTTTCATACCTGTATGCTTCCCAAGCTCTGCAAGAGTGTCCTGGTACATGCTCAACATCTGATCACAGTGAGCAATAACACTTTTTCGCATATTGTCCCAGTGAGGAGCAAGTTCTCCCAAGTCTTTCAGTTCCTGATTCCTGTATCGAAAGGCAAAAAGAGAAGGCACTCATTAACTCATTAATACATTAACATTCATCCAAATTAAGCTAATTAAGCCAAACCCAGTTTGTTAGAAAACATCAAAAGGACTTCCTAATTAAAATAAAATCTGTTTTCATGACGCTTGTAAAACCTGCTGATTTCAGCTCTGTTGTTCAGCCACATAATAAAGAATGTCAAATCAGTGAACGATACAGTAATTTGTGTTCAAAACTCATCTGGTACAAATGGAATGGCCTGCAAACTGAAGTATTATTTCTTCCCTGGAGGTAAGAAGGCTTCCAGGCTCCGGAGAGCTGTGTTCACAGCAAGTAACTTTTTCTGAAGAAATACTAAACACTATTGTAAAGAGTACAAAGTTTGCTCCTTTTCCAGTGCTTGCAGCATAACTGTTTTGATACACTCTATTCTTTAGATACTTTCATACACATCATAAACACAGTACTAGCAGCCTACAAATGTCAGTTTAACCAACACACCAGCCCTCACCACATTTCTTTAGTGTTAAAACCAAAACAAAACACACAACCCCAAAAAAAAAAACCCACCAGTCCCCTAACACTTAATCTTCAGCTGTGTTCATCAGGACAAAACAGCAGTGTTATGGCAACCAAACATGTCACTGAAAATCCAAAAGGAAATCCTTTAGCAAATTATCAGTTTTCCTGTACACTCTTGAGAGCTGACCTGAGTGAAATAGAGATCACTTTAATTTCCTACACAAACAAGCATGGTTACAGTACACCGGGCTTTCTGTTTGTTTTCCCCAATTGCAAAGGAAGTTCATTCTATATCTATCCAAGAACCACTTTGGGGGACCTGCTTTTAAAGAAACTGAAAATGAAAGATCTCGAGTCTTCAAACACTTGGGACTGCTCAAGAGAAAACTTGTGCAACACGACCAACTAGTTTTCCTCATCTTCCTCAAAGTATCAAGCCGACTGTTTCACTGCAGTTCTTGGAAGTCTCAAAAAAGACTTCAAGAGGACAGCTCTTGCGTATAGGAAAATTACTGAAGAAAAAGGAAAAACGGGGGGAGAGGGGGCAGAAAGGGGGAGAAAAAGACCTGTGAGACTGCAGCACAGGAAGACAGAGCTACGCTTACTGCAACAGTTCTGATCACTAGCCAAAAAGTCTTAAAATTATTTCTTAAACAGAAAAGCCCCACAGTGATACACTGATGTTTTCCCCATCATTATTAGCTTTACATTAGAGTGAACAGTTCTAGAATAAGCTATATAGGCATAATTCTGCTCCTGGTTAATACGACAACCAAAATCAAACAGATTGCACTGGAAGCAGAATTAAGGCGTTTTGTTTATACATGTCGCTGAAAGTATCAAAATGGAAACAAAGATTACAATACATGAACTCATTGGGAGTTTACTAACGACGTATGATTACTTTTTTCCGTTTCATTCAACCTGAAGAACAGAAGTAAATGAAACAGTTCAACTTTCCTCCATCAACACAAACTGGCAATGCCGTAGCATAAGAATCATCAGCAGTAAGGGGACAAACCCACCGTTTTCAACCACCATTTTCCTTGCAAGTTTTTAGCAGCTTAAAATGAGACATCCCATTAAATGAAAACCTCAGGGCTTCCTCCTCAGAAAAGCTCGTAAGATTTGGCAGGGTATACAATGTATTTATTTGCAGTGAGGATATTTTGGCCCTTAGTATTTGTTGTCTTATTTAATAGTTTCAGGAACAATGTTTGGACCTGGCTGAGCTCCAGAACTTCACTGCTCCTCCTATACAGGAATATAGTATTCTGCAGAGACTGGAGAAATACTAGGCAGTGAGAGGTGGGCACATCAATACGCCACATTCAGAGCCCCCTATCCCATGGGAAACCCACTGTTGGGGCTCTGCTCCCCTGCCTCTGTCTAAGCCCACTCCTGGAGCTGTTGGTCCCATGCTCAAGCCAAGCAACAACAGGAGTAGAAACCCCTTATCGCAGACTAAAATATCCAACCAAAAACCAGAACTGGTTTAACCGGTTGACTATATTGACACCAACAGCAACGGGAAGGGAAAGCTCAAATTCCACCATATTAACTTTAACACGTTTTCAAGGAATGTCAAATCCTGCTCTGATCATTGTCGACAAGGCTTGTATTTGTTTCATTTCAGAAACACATACACATCACTGAAGTCAAAACACAGCCACTAGTATGTCATAAAAAGACGCATCTTATCAGCAATGTTTTAATAAAGTAAGCGTGCAGTTTTAAAGTAATCTAGAGTACATATAGCATGGAACTTTAAATACTACCTTTTCTAAATTTATTTTCATTTAAAAATATGGTAAAATCAAAACCATGAGATAACAGGATTATATGGTATAGACACTATTCCTCCAAAAATAGCCTTCTTGCACTTTTTATATTTTTTTTTTTGAATGCAAATATATAAGACATAGGATTTAGATACTATTTGTGTCTTGTGATTTCTTACTATTTGTCACTGCTCTTGTTGACTCAGTACAACTCTGAGTTATGGCTGAAAAAAGAATTATCTTTCCTATATCTAAATTCCATCAACAATATTCCACAGTACCAAGCTTTATTATCATTATTGTGAAGGGTCCCTCCCAAAAGTAAACAAACAGATTGAAGCAACATAGTATTTTTCAAATTTGGAAGTTTATAGTTCATACTAATACCCACACAACAACAATCTTAAAAAAATTTTGAATTTGTTTTAATACTACTATAATACTTATAACCAGAACTTATTTCATTGAATAACTTTAAAAACACACTTCAACCAATAATAGTGTCAAACAACAATTGTGCTATAAAGGAAAATTAATATTTATAATATATATATTGGTTCTACAGAGGGCAAATTGGTTACTGATTCACCTTTTCAATGCAGCCATGGAATTTTGAATAGCTTGTCAACAGAGCAGTAAACTCAGAGCAAACTCAACATCGTCGAAATAGAGCTATTTATCATCCCCTTCCTCCACTCCAAATCCCCTCTCAAAGTCTTTTCCAGGTAATTGCACTCATCACCATGACAGATCCTGTGCACAGCATCAACTTCAACCCTTCTTACAGAATCAAATCCAAGCTTTGTCTACATCTTGCTGTTCAGCTCCTGAAACTGTCTCCTGAATAGTCTTTTCTGTCAATGCACAATGGAAACTCCCACCCAGCAGCGTGTCTCAACTTTCATTCTCTCCTGCCTTGATTACTTCAGTATCTTCCTTTGTGGCCTCAACATAATCTTGCACCATTTGTATCTAACCAGAATGTGGATGTAAACAGCCTGTCCCATTCCCCCTCCTCCACTTCAAACATTAGCTAAATAGCTTATTTTAAGCCTTTCTCAGGTACTTTCTGTTTTTCACATCCATTCTTTCCTTTAGAAGACTAATTGTGCCAGCTTTCACTAAGCACTTCTCATTATGGTTGGATGCAGTTCCTCATTAAAAAAATTAAAATCTACTTGTTATTCTTTCTTCAAAACTCTTTTCTGCCATTACGGCAGAAAAATTCAATATTGGATTCTGATCTGCTGAAAGCACTATATACCACGCTGATCGTTAGTATGAAGATTAATGATCGTTGGCGCTAACACAACACAATTTTGAAGAGATGAAAAATTCTAAGAATAAGTTACAAGACCGCTCAGGATCCCACAGCACTATCAGAAATGTCATGAACCTTTATTTCAGGCTCCTACTTAAAAATCAACAACCTCTTTTACTCGGAATGACTTACTGATTTACATAGCTACAATTCGTGGGCACTTTGCCTTTTTGGGGACTTGAGCTTCACCCAGCCTTCCCCTGCTGATGGAAAGTACAGTCGTCGCGCAAGCTGTTACACTGATATGCAGGGTGGTTTGGGAGGATCTCTGCCTGGACTGAAATATCTGTGCTTTATGAACAACTACATCAGGGCAACTAGAGATCTGTAAACACTACACGACTGGATACATTTCTGAGATTACTAGCAATTAAATACTGTTGCCATTAGACTCGAAGTAAAATTACATGCAATTTTTTTGTTCCAAGAAAATGTTCAATGAAGCCCATTATCAAATGATGGTTGAGCACCCAAGGCTTAGACTAATATTCTGGCTGTTGGTTTATCAACTCACGCTTTTTTTTTTTTACTTTTAAGAACACCTTAGGTGCATGATTAAATAAACTACTAGAAGTACCTGGAAGAGGCACAAAGAATTTCCTGTATTATTCATGCTGGTAATTTCTACTTAAACAGTCTCTGCTTTGTGCCATGCACTCTAACGACCATAGTAACAGAAAAAGTTTCTTTCTCATCACTTTGGATATGAGAATATAGGAACAGCTTAGAAGTCTAGAGGAAACATATTCAATGCTGAAAATGCAAAATACTGAATTCTGTAAGGAGTACTTTGAACGAGTGGTATGCATCATGTTCAAAAATTATTTGAAGAAAGTCCTAATGCTGAAATCATGTTCCCAATGGACTTGTTTTTGCAAAACTACCACTAGCTTCAACAGTCCAGACACCATTGTGGAAAGCACAGTGAAAACCTCTGGTCAGTGACAATAAAAACAAAATAAAGCAAACAAAAAAAGCAGCAAGATACTAAGATGAGCAAGATGAGTCAGAAGCGGGCATTCCCTCAAAGAACTTTTGTGGATCTGATTATCCTGTCTCAGAAAAGGGAACAACAGGAATGGCCATTTGCATCATTAAGGACACAGCACAAATCTTCACATATTGAAAGATGAAGCTGAAAAAATCAGTCTATTTATATAAAGAAGAGATAATTAAGAGGACATATGATAAAAGCACATAAACCACAAACGCTGAGTGAAGACAAAGTAGTAATTTTAGATTCACTCAGCTTCAAAAATCCAGTGATGCAATTCCCAGTGAAGCAAACATGACAAATTCAAAACCAAAAAAAGGAACTGCTTTTTGCCTCCACCAAGAGAAATTAGCTTCTGAAATCCACTTGCACAAAACATCAG